CAACAGAGAGTCCCTGATGGAGCAGGAGAAAAGTAGGGCACAGAACTCAAATTCTAGTAAAAAGACCAGACTTAATGGTCTGACTGAGACTGGAGGGACCCTGGAAGACATGGCCCCCGAACTCTCTGTTAACCCAGAACTGAAACCGTTCCCGAAGCCAACTCTTTAGACATAGATTATACTGGACTATAAGACATAAAATGATACTCGTGAAGAGAGTGCTTCTTAGCTCAAGTAGATACAGAGACAAATGGGCAGCTCCTGTACGGAGGCAAGATGAAAAGGCAAAAAGGGACAGGAGCTGGTTGAACGGACACGGGAAATCAGGGGTGGAAAGGAGGAGTGTGCTGTCACATTATAGGGAGAGCAACTAGGGCCACATAACAATGTATGTATACATTTTTGTATGAGAAACAACTTGAACAGTAAACTTTCACTTAAAGCACAGTAAAAAATAAAATAAAATAAATTTAAAACAAACAAAAAGACTTCCTGAAGTAAATATGTCAGATCTTAGCTATTTTCATAGATGTGGTAAGCATGGAGAAAGTATAGTCTTCCTTTTCTCAGATTTGTTTATCTTATCAGTTAAGGACTGTGTCTTATTCACTACTCACTTGCTTGTACCTGGCATAGTATCTTGGATGTATATTGTGTACTTCATACATGTAGAAGGAAGGGGGTGGGGAAGAAGAGGGGGGGAGCAAGAGAGAAAGTGAACACTGGCTCTTTCATAAATTTTTTCCTTTGGAATATGATAATACTTCCTATATCATTTGATAGCCCACACTGTGTCATCAGCTAGAATATGAGAATTACTGGATTTTATTTCTAATTTTATCACCTCTTTGGACTCTTATAGTGGAGGGACTCTATTATTCCTTGTTTTAATCTGCAGAATAACGAAAGCAGTACCAGGCGCTGCTGCTCACATTTCTTCCCAATCTGAGTCTCTAATAAAGAAGTGGTGGAACCCTAAGGATATCCTTTGTCAAAGAATGTATAACCTCTGTCCATGCTTTTTCTTTTGCAGTTCTTCTCTTTCTTCACTGCTTTGCTTCACCTAAAGATGTTGTTCTCAAATGTATCCCTGAGCCAACCTCATCACCATCCCCTGGAATCTTGTGAGGAATGCAAATTCTCCAGCGCCACCCTAGACTTACTGAATTAGAAACTCTAGGAGTGGAGCGCTGTAAGTTTTAACCAGTTCTCATGCCTGCTAAAGTTTGAGAACAGATCTTTAAAGAAACCTATGCACGCTTTAGGCCACCTCTAACACCACGTTCTCTCTAACGTTGTCCTACTCTCTACTTCCGTATCATTTTGCCCAATTTCACAAATAATTATTTTATCACTTACCACGTTGCATTACGGTTAATTGTTTACACATTTTTCTTTCCCCTGCTTCTTGTGTATTTATCTCCAGTACACAGAGTACACCCTCATTGAAATTTTGTTGACTGGTTGAATGAACCAATGAATGTTTTCCCAAGTACTCTGATTACTGGGTATTTATTATTTATAGAGCTCTAGGAGCCCTGGTGTTAAGAGCTTCGTTGCTAACCAAAAGGTCAGCAGTTCAAATCCACCAGGTACTCCTTGGAAACCCCATGGGGGCAGTTCTACTCTGTCGTATAGGGTCTCTATGAGTCAGAACTGATTGTTTGTTTTTTGTTTTTTAGGAGCTCTGTAGCAGAAAGAGGAGCCCTGGTGGTGCAGTGGTTAAGAGCTGTGGCTGCTGACCAAAAAGTCACAGTTCAAATCCACCAGCTACTCCTAGGAAGATGGGGCAGTTCTACTCTGTCCTATAGGATTGCTCTGAGGCAAAATCTACTCGACAGCAATGTGTTTGGTTTTTTTTTGGTACAGTAGAAACACATCTAGAATGTGTCTGGGCTGTGGCTAAAGCTAACATGCATACGACAGGGACTGTTCTAAGCACTTTAAGACATCTATTAATTCATTTAGGCTTTAGTTAATCCATTAATTCATTTAGCTTTTACGGAAATTCTAAGACATGGGTATTATTATTAGCCATGTTTTGTAGGTAAGGAAACTGAGGCACAAAGAGGCTAAGTGAGTAGGGAGATAAGATTCTAATCTGTGCTATGCTATCTCAGCTGTGTTTCCCAAGGAGGCAAAGGGGACAATATACATAAAATAACTACGTGCCACCATGAAACTTAAGTTTAAAACTCTTTGACAAATGCTTAGTCTCCCAGAATGAGCAACCCCAAATTGGAGTTACAAGATCTTTGTTTTGATTAAACTTCACAAGAGAAGTCATTGTGAAGAATTTTCTGGAGGGAAACTCTTCAAAGATGAGTGTCTTAGTTATCTAGTGCTGCTCTAACAGAAATACCACAAGTGGATGGCTTTAACAAAGAGAAGTTTATTCCCTTACAGTCTAGTAGGCTAGAAATCCAAATTCAGGGCAACAGCTCCAGGGCAAGGCTTTCTCTCTCTGTCAGCTCTGGAGAAAGGTCCCTATCATCAATCTTCCACTGGACTAGGAGCTTCTCATCCCAGGAACCCTGGTCCAAAGGCTGTGCTCTTCTCCTGGAGCTACTTTCTTGGTGGTAGGAGGTCCCCCACTCTCTGCTCCCTTCTCTCTCCTTTTGTCTCTTGTAAGGTAAAGGGTGATGCAGACCACACCCCAGGAAAACTCCTTTTACATTGAATCAGCGATGTGATCTGAGTAAGGTTGTTAGATCCCACCCTAATCCTCTTCAACATAACACAATCCTGCCTCAACAACCACAGGCAGAGATTAGGATTTACAACACACAGGAAGAATACATCAATCACAAAATAGAGGACAACCACACAGTACTGGGAATCATGGCCTACCAAGTTGACACATATTTTGGGGGGACATAATTCAATCCATGACAATGGGGAACCGGCTTGTTTTGTTTCTCAGTGTTTGGAACGATATAGGCACTTAGTGAGGCAAATTACTTCTCAATGAATCAGAAGTTGTGCTATAGTTACGTGTCTCCTCTGTGGTTTATTTCTAACCTCTCTTTTCCTGACCAGACAGAGAGAAAGACTGTGTGAAATAAACAAATAGTTGAATGGAATACTAAGGCCTACTTAACATTTCTAAAATTTCTGCCACTTTGTCCCTTTTGTGTAGACTTTCTAGAAAGACAAATTAGTAACTTTGATTTATTCATAGCCTATAGTAATACTGACTTAAAATTAATTCCTATGACTTTAATGTAAATAGGAAGTTACAAATATACTGCACAAGAGTCAAAAACAAAATCTTATGATGATTTTGCCAGGGATGTTAAATGACCTTCACTATTCGAAATAGATAGTAGATTTATATAATATTTTTACTTTAAAACTTAGAGTACAGATAAAATATTTTTCATCACTTCACAGAGTTATTTTGAATTATCTTAGAATCTATAAGTAGGCTTTGCGAATGTGTTAAACTCAAAATTTTAAAAATATTTTACATTTCTCTAGTGACCACAATTTGATTGTATAGGAAATTCAGCAATTCCTAAGTGATGTGAATAATTTAAAACAAATTAACAAACAAATGAAGACATACTTCTTCTATGGTACCAAATGGGCCTGGCTGGTTTTAAAGATGGCTGGTACATAAAGACACTGTTTGGGTTCAGACAATCAGGTAACAGGTGGAGACTAATTATTGGTTGCTTATTCATGGCCAAAGGATCCCTGATGGTGCAGTGGTTAAGTGCTCGGCTTAACGAAAAGGTTAGCAGTTTGAACCCACCAGCCACTTCATCAGCCACTTCATGCGAGAAAGATGTGGCAGTCAGCTTCTGTAAAGATTACGGTCTTAGAAACCTCATGGGGCAGTTCTACTTTGTCCTATAGGTCGTTATGAGTTGGAATTGACTCCATGGCAACGGGTTTGGGTTTTTTGGATTCATGGCTAGGAGTCTCTGTGTGGTACAAACGAGTAAAGCTCTGGGCTGCTAATTGAAAGACTGGAGATTGGAGTCCACCCAGAGGCACTTTAGAAGAAAGGCCTAGTGATCTACTTCTGAAAAATCAGCCATTTAAATCCTATGAAGCATGGTTCTACTTTGACATATACACGTGGTTGCCTTGAGTTGGAGGCGACTCCAGGGCAACTGGTTTCTATTTGTGGCTAGCTGATTTTCCTCCAAGCCTAATTATCGTTGACACAGCCTATAAGCACTGATACTATCAAAAACACCCTATTGCCTTGGTGACAATTTACTTTGAACTTAGGACACAATATGCCCATTCTCTTCTAAACTTTCTATGAAAGCTCAAGGTTAGACTGCTGGCATGTTGTTGTTTCGGTTGACTTTGAGTCAATTCTTACTCTTGGCGACCCCACGTGTGCAGAGTAGAACTGCTCCATAGGGTTTTCAAGAGTGTGACCTTTCAGAAGCAGATCTCCAGGCCTGTCTTCTGAGAAACTTGTGGATGAGTTTGAACCACCAACCTTTCAGCTAATAGTGGAGTGCTTAACTGTTTGCGCCGTCCAGGTATATATGCCATCAGCATTCATGCAAATTTTAAAGTGTTCAACAATGTTGGTTATAAGCACTGATATATAATAACAAGAGGTTTATTTTGCATAGGATAGGATTTCAGATTTCTCTGTATTTTGTCACTGTAACTTAACGAATTTGTATGAGTTGGGGTTAAGGAATATATACAATTTGCTTTTTTGTTTCTCTTTGCCAGTCTTTCTGCTTTCCTTGTTGTAAGCTAGATACCATGCTTCATGGTGATGTACTATTTTGTAGAATTTATAAATCCTCTCTATTTTTAATCTATTTTCCTTCTGGACATAGAGACTTTCCTCAGGTGGTCAGAAATTAGTTTCATAATGTTTCAATCCACAAACTAAATTGCATTGTGAGTTCTGTAGCTATACTATGATGACCATGTTATGTTATGAAAGAATTTGAAAAATATATATATGATCTGGTGTTTATTTTATATACTCTTAAAGAAAATATTCATTATCATAGTACCTGGCCGCCCCGTCCTCCCAGATGGGCCTGGTAATCCTCGACTTCCAGAAAAGCCAATTGCTCCCTGATCACCTTTAAGACCTGGGGGACCTATATGGTTAATGAAGGAAAAAAAGTGGAAAATAATTAATTTTTCATACAGATTTGGGAGTATAATGAAACAATCTATATATTTTCATGAAAGAACATGAAACCGGTGAATCTCCAAATTGAAGAATAATATCTTTCCTAAAATTTCATGTGTGCCATTGATAGGTAACATAACTAATAAGTATAAATATTTGTGCATTTAGTGCAGTGTAGATATCCCATAAATAACACATTGTTAATGCAAATGAAAGCACCTACCAAAAAAAAACTCGATATTTTAACCACAAGTCATACATAATCTCATAAGGAATCTACAAATGACAGGCTTTTCCTATACTTTAGATAACATTGAAATTTATAAGCAGATAATTGCATTTCTAAGATTTGTCCCAGAGAAAGAAAAAAAAAAAAAAAACCTTAAGCAATGAGAAGTATTAAAGCATATTTTATAAAAAGAAATTTTGGGTCCTACTTCTGGACTATATCACCAATTTTATGTCATGGACTTATGTCTACATATCCTATTGTTATTCCAAACAATGTAGTAAATATCTAAGATACGAAAGATTCATTTACAAAATATATACCTATGCAGGGTTTTACATGCTTAAATGAAAACAACCTTTTTTTTTTTTTTTTTTACCCCCATATCACTTTGCTGACCATGAAAAATGCATCTAAAAGCAAACCTTATATTTCTATGGAATACAATAGTTCATTCTGGAGTCTGCTGGTTTAAGATAAACTGTTGTAAATATCTCCTTTCCGTGCCATTATAAGTTCACAGAGATTCCATGAATCCAATTTCAGTTGATGCCTTTGGAGGCATGTTATGAGAGATTGATTGTGCATCTCTTTTTCAGTGTCAACCGTTCATAATATTGCCATGAGTTTACAAGTTTCAGGACGGTGATCATGCCTATCTAATTCATTGTAAAACTCTTTTTTTAGGGTCACCATTTCATATTGACCCCCCCAAATTGGGCTAATATCCTCTAAGAAGCATTCAGTTTGAGAAGTATATTATTCTAAACAGTTAAGAAATATTTTTCAACCCAGTGTAAAACTTTGATTCTAACTGAAAGTAAGCAAATATACAAAGCAATAAAATGATAAATTATGTCCAGAAATAGTAATATATTGGTTGGACTTCACAGCATAGTCTAAAAAAAAAAGAACAAACACCTGTTCTGAGGACAAGCTAACAGGTTAATATCTATACTCTTCGTCATCATCCAAGTACAGCCATCAGGCTCCCCCACACGTGCAGCTACTGAGATGTGTCACACAAAGTTACAAACATCAACACTGACAAAATTTTCTCCTTTTTGTCGCCTGTGAAGTTTGGAAGTAGAACAATCCCCCAGTCTTTTTAGAGGTCACTCACACGGGACTGCCATTTTTACCATTAAGATTTTCCTTTATTAATTCAACGAAGGTATACTAAGAGTATATATTGGGCCAGTATTTCCTCATTCTGGAGTTACAAAGGTCCTTGCCTAAATGGACCTTCGAGTGTGGAGCAACAGTGAGGAGAGAAAGATGTTAAGTAAGTTACCAAATCAATAAAGAGTATAATTTTAGAAGTCAACAATCTGGAAAATGTAAGAGAGAAGGCTTTGGCATCACAAAGTGCCTCTCCAATGGTGGCTCTTTGAGTCTGTTACAGTGACACTCATAATACTGCTGTTCAACTATGAAGTAGGTTGCGTTTTCAAGGGTTGAATAAATGAATCCATAAATGAAGTATGTGTGGTAATTTCATAGACATCAGTTGATCAGTAGACCTCTATTTTATATAGGAAAATGTTTAAGCAAACTTTATATGGCATATAGAGTTTCACGACTTGTTTGGTAAATGATGTTTGAAAATGTAACCTTTTGTTGTAAGCACCGCTGTTGAATTTCATTGCAGGAGACCAGATTCTCTGAGCCTTTCAGGTGACAATTTGATAATTTTCCATAATAGTCTGGGTCAAAGGAAAATGATCAGGTCTTGGTTCCAACTCATCCGCAATAATAAGAACATTTTCTAAACTCTCAGTCCTGGAATGCTGGAGTTCCAAGGGACCTTAGATATCATCCTATACAAATCCATCTTTTTGCAGATACAGGAACAAAAGACTGGGAAGATCACTAACATAAGGCTGATTGGCAAGTTATTCACATAGTCCAGGTCCCAGCTCTCAGTCCAGGCTTCTTTCTGTGGTCTAGCAGGGTGGTTAAGAGCATGGACTTTGAAATCATGCCTGTCTGGATTCAAATACTGACTCTGCTACCTACCAACTGCCGATTGTCCTTGGGAAAATCATTTAACCTCCCCGTGCATCTGTAAAATGGGTGTATTATATGTACTTCCATCATAAATTTGTTGTGATGATTAAAAGAGTTAATAAATGAAAACCATTTAGTGAAGTATCTGGCACATTATAAATACTATGTAAGTGTTAGCTAGTAGTAGTGGTAATAGTAATATAATCATTATTTTGACTAGCCTTTTTTTAAGGCTGCTACATTTAATTTTACCTAGTGATATATGCATAGTTAATAGTTACATTTTTGGATTCAGAAAAAAAATAGAAAAAAGAATAAGAAATACTCCTTTCTTGGCACAATTTGTTACCTCCAGAAGAAACTCACTTTTGACCCTCAGGCACAGAACAAGAGCCTACAACCAGCAACTTTCCCTACCAAAGCATATATTGAGGGAGCATGGTCTTTGTTGTGGTTCTTGTTGTTTTTTGTGGTCCTTGTTGAAAGTTGCTGGAGAAGTCTTTCTGGGCAACAGACTGAGGTGGTAGCTGGGGTGGTGGCTGGGGTGGGATAAAGAATTGCACGGATATAAATACACCGAAGAGACAAGGAAGGACCTTCCCTAGAGTCTTCAGGCCTCCAGAACTGTGAGAGAATAAGTTTCTGTTGCTGTAAGTCACCCAGTTTGTGGCAGTTCGTTGCAGCAGTCACAAAAAAGTAATACAGGATGAAAAGTTTGCAGCCAGAGGAGCCGTTGGTGGTCTCTCCAAGCGTCATATGTAGGCAGCACCCTCCTGTGCCTATCGGTCAGGCTGTCCTGTTATTGATCCCACTGGGCAGAAACAGTCCATTAGATTGCCTCTAGGTGTCCTTTAGGAACTGAAGAGGCTTCCGAAGGATCTTAGATGACATAGCATCTAGAGTCCTTGATCATGGCAATCATCGCACTTACATAATTGCTTATTCCACTGTAACCCTGTACTTGGCAGAGACTACCTATCTCTTCCACGTAGTCCACAGTGCCTTGTAGAGCACCAGGCACAGGCAAAGTGCTCAAGACACATATTCTCAAGTGAAAGGTCATTGCCCCCTGCTTGCCTTTCAGGAAAAGAACACTCTGAAAGGCGTCTCTGTTATGTTATTTTGAGCTAGAGCATATTTTTTAATATAATATCCATGCCAGTACATGAATAGTACTTAGTAATATATTTGAAGTATTTATTTTTAAGACAGCTAAAAGAACCATTGAAGTTTCTCAGATTTCCATATCATGGCACGTGTCGACGTAAGTGTGACTTTGTCACGCTGAGCTTCCTGGGGTCAACCAGATGCATGGGTGGGGTTTTAATTAACTTGCTTAAATCAAGAAGTAGAATTATTGTGACTGTTTATCATAGGGCTCCTGGGTGTTGCCAAACAGTTTGCTTCCATAAAGATTACAGCCAAGAAAACTCTATGGAGCGGTCCTACTCTATAACGCATGGTGTCTTCATGAGTCAGAATTGACTGGATGACAATGGATTTGGTATTTTGGTTTCGTCCATCAAATACTCTTTACTTCTTGATTCCAGTATTAAACCAAAAAAACCCCTAACCCATTGCCATCAAGTCAATTCCGACTCATATCGACCCTATAGGACAGAGTAGAACTGCCCCATAGGGTTTCCAAGGCTGAAATCTTTACAGGAGAAGACTGCCACATCTTTCTCCTGTGGAGCGGCTGGTGGGTTTGAACCACCGACCTTTCAGTGAGCAGCCTGGCACTTAACCACTGCACCACCAGGACTCCAATTAGGCAACCTGGCCAAGAACGACACAGAATGCAGCAATTGTCAGTGAAGACTCCATTAGGAGAGATGCACGGTAGCTTGAATACTTCTGCTGCAGCGCCCCAAACCAAATCACACCCGGATAGCCAGCCTAAGAGTCAATTCATCTCCCCTGTGACTAAATCCAACTCTCTGTTAGAAGGTTCTGGATAATGCCTATTTGTGGAAATGAGCACCAACAATGGCAACAAACTAAACCCTCACTAAAAGAATCAAAGAAGCTTCGCAATGGTGTCTGTTTCTGCCATTAACAAAAGCTGAAAGTTTTAAATCCCTTGTCGTGGATTGAATTGTGTCCCCCAAATATATCTGTCAACTTGGTTGGGTCGTGATTCCCAGTATTGTATGACTGTGTAATCTGATGTGATTTCCTTATGTGTTGTAAACTCTATCGCTATGATGAGGTTATACTGATGAGGTCTACAGGATTGGATAGTGTCTTAATCCAATCTCTTTTTGAGATATAAAAGAGAGAAGCCAGCAGAGACACATGGGAACCTCATACCACCAAGAAAGCAGTGCCGGGAGCAGAGCATGTCCTTTGGACCTGAGGTTCCTGCACTGAGATGCTCCCAGACCAAGGGAACGCTGATGACACAGACCTTCCTCCAGAGCCGACAGAGAGAGCCTTTTCCTAGAGCTGATGCCCTAAATTTGGACTTGTAGCCTACTGGATTGTAAAGAGAATAAATTTCTCTTTGTTAAAACCATCCACTTCTGGTATTTCTCTTGGAGCAGCACTAGATGGCTAAGACATCCCTCCTTCTGTTTTATTTCAATACAGCCATACTTCAGGAACAGCTGCAGAAGATGCCCCCAAGATGAAGCTTTGTAAGGCAAGCTGTAGCCCAGACTGAACTTTTATGGTTGAGTTATAAAGCTTTGACAATTGCAGTTAGTAATGGAGGAGCTGACAGACCCTTGACAATAGTAGCTCTGGCAGCTGCTATGATACTTGTTACTTCCCTTGCTTATGACATTAACGCACCATTGCTGCTGAGCACTAGGCAAGGAGAAAGATTTTCTGAATAAAGATTCTTACCTGACAGTACTTTCAAAGGGACACCAACCCACCCAAGATATGTACACGCACACACACACACACACACACACGCACACACACGCACATGATTCCGAGTCATAGCGACCCTATAGGACAGAGTAGAACTGCCCCATAGGGTTTCCAGGGAGCATCTGGTGGATTTGAACTGCCGACCTTTTGGTTAACAGCCGAATGCTTAAGCACTACGCCACCGGGGCTCCATATATACGTACATTTTAAAAAGACACATATATATATTTGTGTGTGTGTGTGTATATATATATATATATCTTTTTAAAATGTAAACTTTATATATTGGCTTTTTAAGCACAGTGGTGTAAAGCTCAGGCAGGTGTAAATTCATACTTTTCGTTTCCAAAAAATGTTTTTCTGATGTAACCTAGGCTGGTCAGTACACTGATCTGAAAGGAAAGCTGTTTATATAATCAAAAGACGGAAAAAATAGGATGAAGCACATAGTATTTACACTTTTTTTTTAAGTCAGCATGAACCGTTCTGGTTATAATGAGGCCCTGCAATATACCCCACTTTCAAAGAGCGTGTAGAGTGTTTGATTTTTAGCCAGGAGCAGCACGACAATTATGTTATTGGTACTGGTTCTTTATTTTATTTTTTTTAAGAGCAAAGGAAGTTCATCCTCTCCTTTTCTGTGTCTTCCATTACTTTCTTTCAAAATATTGCTTTCAAGATTACAATATAGACAAAGAAAACGATTTTGAAGTAATTTTGCTCTCAGTAAAATGCAGAGTGGCTGACAGCAAAGGCCAAAGTCATTTGTATTCTATTCAGTATTTACAGTCAGATTTCATGGGTTTAACCAGACATGTTCCAATCAAGGACTTTATAAGAAATATAATTAAAATTTGCTTTTGATTCATATGAATGTAATTTTTTTATCTTAAAAATCAGATAACTTGAAACTATATTCAGTGCAAAGGTGATTTTCCTATTCTCTTTCACATGTGACCTAAAGGTAGGTCGGCCATCTACTGCTGTATAATCTGTGCTAAAGATGGTACCTCTAGAGTTATGCACAATCCCATGTGGTGGCTCTGGCTAAAATATTTAACCTTGTTTAAAAAAATCAACAATCAGTGCTTACCATTCTGTATATTGTAGTCATTAGACCCATAAAGCATTTAAAGTTGTCCCCAACACACACTCATATACCATAAGGGACAAATAAAATAGCTAATCCCCCTACACATACACATGGATGTATATTAACTATCTCTGTAGTTTACTAAGTAGCTACTGTTAACGTACCCATGGGACCTGGAATGCCTGGTGGACCACGTTCTCCAGTAAGACCTCTGTCTCCTTTCTCACCTCGGGGTCCAGGAGGGCCTTTAAAAAAATGAACCGTAATTACTGATCACAGTTAAAAAGCATAGATAAAACCGATTTGTCATTTTACCAAAAAGACAGTTATATAAGGAAATCTAAAATCTTTTATTTGTTGTACAATAACACAGGATGGATTCGATTGAGCTTCCCAAATGCAGGAGTGCTCTGCTATAGAATAGTGCAATGGCCTATGCCTATAACACACGCTAAGTGAATGTCACTATATTGAGTTAGATATTGTGTGGGAAACGTACAAGTAAAGATGTAATAACACGTGTGTAATACTCTCAAGAGAAACAAGAATTCACACTCAGTAGACAACCAGAAACCATCTTGTTGGAAATGACTCTAAATTTAGATATTTCACACACCATTGGAGATAAGTGTAAGTGGCAATAGTTACAGAAGACTTTATTGAGAAAGCAGGATTTTAGGTGTACTTTGAAGAACAAGTAGAGTGAGAAAGAAGAAAATTCTCAGGAAATAGGAGAGGGATAGGTGCAAAGGCAGAAAGGTGAAAATGAGTAGAAGTATACTTTTTAAATAAAATATTGAGTAGACAAGAAAAATATTAGCCCAAGAGATTAAAGGACCACATAAACCAGAGACTCCACCAGCCTGAGACCAGAAGAACTAGATGGTGCCCAGCTACCACCAATGACCGCCCTGACAGGAAACACAACAGAGAGTTCCGGATGGAGCGGGAGAAAAGTGTGGAGCAGAACTCAAATTCTAGTAAAAAGATCAGACTTAATGGTCTGACAGAGACTGGAAGAACCTCCGAAAATATGGCCTCTGGATGCTCTGTCAACCCAGAACTGAAATCATTCCCAAAGCCCACTCTTCAGAAAAAGATTAGACAGGACTATAAAACAAAAAATAGTACATGTCCAACAGACACATGAGGAAATGCTCGCGATCACTAGCCATTAGAGAAATGCAAATTAAAACCACAGTGAGATACCATCTCACCCTGGCATTACTGGCATGAATCAAAAACACTGGAAATAACAAATGTTGGAGGGGCTGCGGGGAGAT